ACTTAAGCATATTCTGTGTTGTAGACAGAAATTGGCTAGGCTTATCCTTACTGTTTTACTGACCCAATAAAATTTAGAGTGAATTATCTTTGTGATTAAAGTAAGAGAAAATGAAATTTATGTATTTCTGTAATTGGCTTATAGTCCTAACAGTGTTGGGGAAAATTTTATAAAAGTCTATTGTACATTTGTATATAGTTTTCTCTGCTCTAGTATTTTTTTTAACCTAGTAGATATTTCAAGATTTTTTTGTAACTTGTGTTTATCAAAATTATGATTAAATTTCTGGTTTGTGGGTGGCATTAGGTAAGAAATATATTAATCTAGGGAATAGGATACATTTTTTTTCTATTTGAATATCTTCAAACTATTTTATCCTTTGTTTTCATGATAGTGCTTTAGATAACAGACCAAAGAGAAGAGCCCTATCAGATTACCTGAGGCCAGTGGAGGACAGACAAGCCGGGCTGTGGATGCAGAACCTTAGCTAAGTAAGACCGAGTTTTTGTTAATGTACTAATTATTATTATAGTGTGTGTGCATGTGAGGGGGGTGTGAGAGAGAAACATGAGTGTGGAAACCAGAGGACAATTTGTGGGAGTTAGTCTAACTTTCCACTATGTGGAACCCAGTGATCTTGCCAGGTTATTGGGCCTGGAGGCAAGTGCCCATAACCATTGAGCCATCTCACCAGCTCCCAAATGCAGACATTTCTATAATTGTCGTATTTATGGTTTGTGGAAGAAAACAAAATTGATAAGAAATGCCATCTGGTAAGAATTGGTTTTTGAAAAATAAACACATAAAAAACATCCTCTTTTAGAGATGTTTTGCTTCCTCTTTGAGCCTTACTTGAAATGTAGATTTAATTTACTGAACTTAAAACTTGTAGAAGCCCTTTGTGCACAAGAAGGGTCTGTCTTTCTTAAACTGGGCTTAAAATATACAACCTGTGAAACAACCACAATGTACATTCTTTTTAAATTTTAATGATGTAATGACACCTATTTTGGTATTGTCCCCTTTAATCATAGTCTCATAAGAGTATCTGGTGCATCCATATTTTTAGGAAGGAAGCTGCAGTTTAGACTAATGTACTTGCTCAGGCTAGCTGGAAGTAGAGCTAGAACTTGAATGTAGCTTATGTCCGTTGTCTACTGATGCTTTGGATTGGTAGAACCATAAAGCTCAACTGACTGTAAAGACTCAACAAGTGACTAACCTTCCTGGAAGAAGGCAGCTAATGGTGTTGATTTGTCTGCTCAGCATTATTTTGACAACAGAGATTTTCTTTTATTTTTCCTGTTTTTTTTTTTTTTAAAGCACAGTAAACCAAATTTGTGTTCAAGCAGAGAGAAGAGTGGTGTAGAGTATATCTAAAATCCTCTTTATTATAAGTGCATCTTTGCCCTTCAGTCCTACTCATCAGAACCCAGTGTTAGAGCCAGCCACCTCTGACTCTACAAAAGACTGAGGAATTAAGAGCAGCAGGCCCTGGTGTGTGTGTGTGTGTGTGTGTGTGTGTGTGTGTCTGTGGGGGAGTGAGAGAGAGTCACCATCCATGGTCTCTACACATGGCTGTCACCACAATATTGCTGTTCTGTTAGCAAAGACTTGTGCACCAGTGGATAGTAAGCACTTTTATGATTGATTCACTGTGGATTTTGTAAATATTAATTATTAGAACCACACATATTAAATGGTGAATGAAACTCAAAAAAAAAAAAAAAAAAAAAAAAAAAAGAGTGTAAGTTCTTGCCATTCTAGAATACTTTAAAATTTTTATATGTTAGTTTTTTTTTTCTTTTTAAGAATTCATTTTTGGGGTTGATGGAATGGCTTTGTGGTTGAGAGCACTGACTGCTCTTCCAGAGGACCCTGGTTCAGCTCCCAGCATCCACATGGTAGCTCACAATTGTCTGTAACTCCTGTTCCAGATGATCTAAAACATCATTGCACATAAAAAATTAAAAAAATATTTCTGTTTCTGCATGTCTGATATCTGTATGCTTGTGCATCTCCTGGAGGACAGAGGAGGATGTCCGATCCCTGAGCTGCAAGAGCAATATGTGCTCTACCTGCCAAGTCATCTCCCCAGCACCTATTTTGTTTTTAATTGTGTGTGTGTGTGTGTGTGTGTGCACATACACGTGCGTGTGCATTTTAGTCTAGGTGCCCATTGGATCACAAGAAGGTGTCAGATTTACAGCTGGAGTTAGGGGCAGTTTGAGCTGTCTGCTGTGGGTGCTGGGGACAGACCTCAGTCCTCTGCTAGAGCAATACGATGTTTTTAGTTGCTTTGCTGTCTGTCTTTCCAGCCCCTTGTGATATATGATATATGATATATAAAAATATATAATATATATATATATATAATATATATATATATATTTTTTTTTGAAAGGTACTGAGAACACAATGTTTTTCTCTGTTAAAATATGGAATACAGGGACTAGAAAGCTGGCTTAGGGGCTGAATGCTGGCTGCTCTTTCACTCTTCGAGTGAACCTGGGTTTGAGTCTGTCATCCACATGATAGCTAACAACTTTCTGTTTCTCCAGTTCCAGGGGATTCTGGCTTCCACAGGCATTCATGAACATGAAAATAAATTAATCTTAAAACAGTTCAGAGCACAAAAGATACAAGGATGTTACCTTAACTCTGAATTCTTGCAGCTTGTGGTAAAATTGTTTCACGTTAAGATTTGTAACCTCTACTGCAATATTTTAAGACCGCTGTGCTAATCATTCTACTGCTTAAAATATGACTGCTTTAAAAAGAGTTGTGTGTGGCTTTCTGAGAATTCTTACATTTGACCTTCAACTAGTTGAACATTTGTCTTGTTTCCAGTGAGGGTGCCCACTCACCCAGAAACAGCAGCAGCATGTGGGATTAAAGTCTGTAAACAAGTATATCTGAGCAAGGCAGACCCTTAGCTACATACGCAACAAGACTCTGCCAACAAAGGTTGGAAACCTTTTCCAGCCTTAGTAATATGTAAATTAATATGTTATCTTTATTTTAAGCCAAAAAGCTTCAGGAATGTTGTCCTTCTTCAGAGGAACTTCTGGAAGAGCCCTGACCCTCTTCTCAGAAGAGAGAAACCTTACATGGGGCTGACAGTGCTTACTACCAGGTTGGGCAGACCGGTAAAGAGGGGACGAGAGCTAAGGCCTGGAGCCTCAAGGTGTGTTAAGTGGACCACATGTGCTTCTTTTAAGCTTTAATTTATTTTCCTCGGTTTGTAAGTAACCCTTTGCTGAACCCAGGGCACTCTCTATTTTAACTTTAGTGTAATACACCAAAAACAACATGATACTTGCAGAGTCCATCTGGCTTCAGATGTCTGCAATGCTATTTCTTTTGTGCTAGAATCAGGAATCCTGAGTGTCCGTACCTATAATGAAACAAAAGCAAAGTCTTTTAAGGGCTCAGTGGCATTATGCATGTAAATGTAATTTATAATATACATTAACCTTTTCATTGTCCATTATCCCCTCCAGATGTTTTCTTTCTTTCTCAGTCCCTGTAAGATGTGGCTATTTATGTGCACCATTTTGATATTTAAAAATTATGTTACCTAATTAATTATGTTCAGATATGGCAAATTTGACCAACCTGCTGCTACTAAAAATAATAGGGGCATATGCATTCATTTCCTGTTGTCTGATTGCTTTACATTAAATCGGCCAGTTGAATAGTTGTAACTTAGGAAGTGTTTAAGAAATTGTTGGTGACTTGTAAGTTAAACCATGGACCAGTAGTTTAAAACATAGCAATTGCTCTTCCTTAATACAGGGATTTTTTTTTTTTTTTTTGTCTGCTTTGAAAGTCCTACTCCTAACCAAGAAGCTGTTAGTAGTAATTGATTCCTGCTAGGAAAGGAAAGTCAGTTCTTGCCAATGGAGTATCGCTGAGTTTATCAACCACACTCTAGGGCAGGCCCCACGACCCAGGAGTAATTGGACAACGCAACACAGATTACAGACTATTTTTTTGTTTTTATATATATGCATGTTTTGTTTAAGTATTTTTTTTTGTCTTAATAGATTTTGCTTTGACCTTCATGCCCCCCCCATCTTCCCTCCCTCCTCCTTCTCCCTTTCCCCTCTCTCCTCCCTTTTCTGATTTGGGAAAGAGGATCAGAACATGAGAGCATGAAGTTGGTTGGGTAGGGAGGAGTAGAGGATCTTGGAGGAGCTCGGGGAGGGAAAAGAATATGATCAACATATATTTTATATAAAAAAGAAAAAAATCAAAACTGAAGATTGTCTTGGTGGTATGCAGCTATAATCTTAACACTCAGTAAGCTGAGGCAGGAGGATTGTGAGTTCATGGCCAGTTTAGATCACCCTACTTCAAAGCTAAGCAAAACAAGACAAAAAAAAATAGCAACTAATAAATTTTCTCTACTAGTTATTAAAATATCTGCTTACTATTCAGTAGTTTGACTATAGGTGTGTATAATGTATTTCTTGGAGGGATATGAAGCCTAACAAATGGTTTTGAAATGTGAAACTTAGGGTATGGCTTTTTTTTTTTTTTTTTTTTTTTTTTTTTTTAAGATATTAGGATATGTTCCTCATCTACAGTAAACACAGTGGATCTGGCCAGAAAGATGAGTCAAATGCAAAAGAAAAAAACAACTATATAAGACTTTAATATGTTGAAGAAACGTGTTTATATATTTACACTTAGAAAAAAATATGTCAAAGCCATGGGATTTTTGTTGTAAAAAGTTGAGTTTACTGTATTGCTGTCACAGAAATAAATCACTTACCTGTAAGAAAAGTGATCCAGCCTGAAATAGTGAAATCTCAGGAAATAACATACATTTTTATTGTAGACATTTACACACTTTGTCCAGTATGTGTTTTATAGTGATTCGATTAAGATATTTGTATTATTATTTTGATAACTTTAGTTGCTGTATTGGGTAAAAAGACAAAATGAACTTCTAACTATGTTTTGCTTTGAACTAATGATATTAAACCTTTTAGATGAGGCAGAAGGAGGAGATACACAGAGGAAAACAACTCACAAATCCTCATGTGGAACTTCGTAAGTATACAATAATACTTTTTCCTTTTTTAATTAATTTATTGTTTACATTCCAATGCTAGTTCCCCTCCCTCCTCTCCTACCACTCCCTCTTCTCCCCCCCCACAATACCATTTTGTCTAAGGACAGGGACTATATGTGTAATTTCATTCTAGATAAATGGACTGGTTTTGTTTTGTTTAAATTAGTGTTAGGTGTTGGTAAGAGTTTTATTTAATTTATAAAACCTGTACTACTTATTTTCTTGATTTAATTATATTGTAATATATTTATAAATTATACTTTAATTTTTAAAATTTGAATATTTTCTTGCTATGTAATTGAGAAACACAGAGATTGACAAACTGGGGATGATGTTCTTGCCCAGCACGCTTTTCGCCCTGGGTTCGATCCTCAGTGCCATATGGCCATGTGCTCATAAAAGATGATGTTTAAGAATAGCTTTAGAAGTACAGTGAAGAAAATCTGTAGCCACTGTAAAAGTAGAGCACAGTCTTATATTAGAGTTGTTCAAGATAAGTAAGAGTGGCCAGTTGGTATTCCCTGATACTGTTAAGCTCACCATTATATAATTGTGATTGACCAGATTTACTTCATTATGAAAGATGCCTTCTTTCATAATGTGTTGGTACTTGGAGAGAGAAGAGATTTTTCTGTTTATATACCTTTTGTCCTCTCCTCTTTCAATTATCTTTGTAGAATTTTCGGATGCGAATGCCAAGTTTTACTGTCGGCTGTACTACGTAGGAGAATTCCATAAGATGCGTGAAGTGGTTCTGGGCAGCAGTGAAGAAGATTTCATTCGCTTCCCTTTCTCATTCATCACCCTGGCAGGCCCGGGAGGCAAGTCATGAGCTGCTTTCTATGCCACTGAAGGTAATTCTCTTTACTCGCCGTTTTTTACCTTGAGACAGTTCACGAAGCACTTGTGTATTAGCTGTTGGCAAACAGTGTTCTCTCATTTCTTTCTGTTCCCGAGAAGAGCCATAAAATCTTAGAAGACTATAGGCTCAGACGTAGGTCAAATGCTTGCTGATCTCTTTCTAATTCTGAGTTTTCCAAATGTATGTAGAAACTACATTAGTTATGTAATATCCCTGTGATCCAAATATCTGATGGAGACAGCTTAAGGGAGAACAGGTTTATCTTGGCTCATGTTTCAGCTCCTGAGTGTTGGCAGTGGGAGCATGTGGTGGTTGGTAGCCATTCACATCACCTCAGACAGGAAGCAGAAAGTGAGGCAGGAGTGGAGGGAAAATAAATAATCTCTGTTTTCCAACTGTGACCCACATCCTAAATGTTTCACACCTCCCCATAGTAGTATCCTATACTAAACAAGCTTGAAAACATGGGACTGGAGGGGAATATTTCAAATTCAAACCATAGCAAACAGCTTGTGGGAAACTTGGTTGGGTGCCACAGAACTGCTAATAGAAAGGTAATAGCAGAAATGTTTGGCCAGAATATTCAAAGGCCAAGTTCTTTCCTACACAGGCTTACTTAATGCATAATACCCACTGAACACAAAATTATTCAGGAAAGTTAAGATTTGTGATTTGATAAAAACTTTAATAACTTTCAAGAGTTACTAAAGTAGCATTTTCTTTGACAGTTCTAAAAAGTAAATGAATTCATGCTGTGAATTTAGATTTGAGGGTAGATTTAAAAAGTAGATGTTCTTGTCCATATAATCTTTAGGACTCCTAATATTTTAATTGCGAATTGCTTGCTGATCAAAATTTTCACTATTGGTTAAAAAAAGTCTCAGAACAAAATAAACAGGTGGTTTGGGTTCTCTGGAATGATTTCACTTTTACTTTAGAACAGACAATATGTATTCTGGTGAATAAATGTGGCATTTCTTCCTTGTAGATGATAGATTCATTTTGAAGCAAATGCCCCGCTTGGAAGTCCAGTCTTTCCTTGACTTTGCACCACACTACTTCAATTATATCACAAATGCTGTTCAACAAAAGGTATAAATCCTTAAGTCTTGGTTTGTAGTTACAGTTCATTGGGACTTTTATATCCTCAGTTCATGACAAAAGCTTTCTCTGTGCTAAGGTAAGAGCAGGGCACACCTGGGACTCTCTTACACTATTGCGATGTGAAGGAATGGAGAGTTTCTTACCTCTGCCATTGAGCAACCATGTAACCTTAAGCAATTAGCTTTTGATTGGTGTATACATACTTACACACACACACACACACACACACACACACATAAGTTAATTGAGACTATTAGATGTTCATCTAATGAATTTTTTTTTCTTTTTTATTATTTTTTTATTTTACACGTCGATCCCAGTTCCCCCTCCCTCCCTTCTCCCTCCCTTCCTTCGTCCTTCTTACCTTCTCTCCCCCCTCACATTCACCCTGACCACCCTCCCTTCCCATCCCCCCATCCCCATTCCACTTGTAGGGCTATGCTATCCAGGTGGGGTCATGTAAATCTGTCAAGTCATTTGAAGTACGGACTAGGACTTCTCTCCTGTCTCTAGATTAAGGCAGTTATCCTTCCATGGGGGATGTGTCTGCAAGGTCCTTTTGTGCACCAGGAATACATCCTGGTTCCACTGTCTGAGGTCACTTAGACTGCTCAGTCCTTCTAGCTGAGACCCATATTCAGGGGGGTCTGAGTCAGTTCCATGCTGGATTCCCAGCTATCAGTCTGGGGGTCGTTAGCTCCTCCTTGTTCAGGTCAGCTGTCTCTATGTGTTTCTGCAACCTGGTCTTGTCCTCTTTCTCTGCATCTGGATTCTAGTTTGACTCAATGTTTAGTTATGGGTGTTTGCTTCTGTTTCCAACAGGTGCTAGATGAGGGCTCCATGATGGTGGATAAGTTAGTTGTTGATCTCATTATCAGGGAAGGGCATTTATGTCTAGAGACCTATACGACTGACTCCAACTAACATTATGACTTATATTTTTGTTGAGAAATGGGAAGGTGCTTCCCTTAGCTATCAGGGAAAACAGTGGCTTATGTTTGCCCACTTGCCATTGATAAATGACCGTGAATATTTTATGAAGGAATTACAAGGGATTTTTTGGGGGGGTTGTTGTTAAGTAATAATTTATTGCAGATTATTGGGAGAAATAATATCCATGTGATGATAAAGTCTTTTAATTTGAACTGCTGTGAAGGGCTATCCTGTTATACAATTTATGGATCTACCATTGTTACTGGCATGCATTATATTCAATTGCAACTTCTGACTTTGAAGAATTTCAAGTACCTGTTGCTGGTATATCAGTAGATAATCATTCTTGGCTAATACATGGATAAACCAGATACTATATGACTTAGAGATAATCTTATTTTGGTAATAGTTTATTTTGATCTCTTTTTGATTAGAGGCCCACTGCTTTGGCCAAAATTCTTGGTGTTTACAGAATTGGTTATAAGAACTCTCAGAACAACACTGAGAAGAAGTTAGATCTCCTTGTCATGGAAAACCTGTTCTATGGGAGGAAGATGGCACAGGTGAGATACTGGACTGTGTGAAGCGCTCGACTGTGAGGACCCCTTGTAGTTTGGTTCTTGAATATGTATATAGTAAATTTGAACAACAGCGTTTGTTAGTCAACAGTGAACATTTAACTTATTTTTGGAAGAAAGAAAAATTAGTATGTAACTCATTGTAAAATTTAATATTTTAGAATCAGGAGGCTTGTGGATTAAGAAGGAAGTTGTTCTCATACCTTCTTAATTTTAAAATCAAATTAGCTGAGCCCTAGAGAGATTGAGCACCTGCCAGTCCTTGGCTGTTTTATGTTGGTTTAGGTGTTGTGAGAATGTCATTTCTACCTGCTGCAGCTAACTAGGCACCTCTTCTAGACTTCATAGTGCTTTTTGAAGTGCTGCTCCTTGACCTGAGAATGTCTTTGTATGAGAACGCAGGCTGAGCTACACTGTGTGCTTTATGTCTGCTGCTAGCTGTAACATCTTCATGAGCCAGGAGTAACTGGCTAACACTGGTCTGTAGAACACACTCTTGGATGGTTCTACTCATTGAGTTCTTTGACATTCCTACTTTCCAGATACTCTGAAATTTATGTTCTCCCATGTACATTGCCTTAAATAATTATATAGAGTTTTAATATTTTGTTTCCCAAGACTATTTGTGTCTTCTTTCATACTGTTAAACAATCTGAAACTTAATATATTTTAAAATTGGTTACATTGACAGATTAGTTCTGAACTGTTCTATTGAATACCAGTATATTGTTTTATATGGTACAATTGTATCACCACAAATTTAATGTATCATATACTATGTACTTTTTATATCATGTTTCTATCACTCTGTATTTGTGATCTATATTAGGAAAGTTAAAGTTTGAAATAAAATTTAGCTGTGTATATTATAGTAACCACAAGGAATCTTTTTGCCTTTTAATTGCACTAATTAACTATAGGGGCAAATTTGCACATCAATGATAAAGACTTTTTGTTTTGCTAGGTTTTTGATTTGAAAGGTTCACTTAGAAATCGAAATGTAAAAACTGACACTGGGAAAGAGAGTTGTGATGTAGTTCTACTGGATGAAAACCTCTTAAAGATGGTTCGTGACAACCCTCTGTATATTCGTTCCCATTCCAAATCTGTGCTGAGAACTTCCATCCATAGTGATGCCCATTTCCTTTCGAGCCACCTCATTATAGACTATTCTTTGCTGGTTGGTCGAGATGACACTAGCAATGAGTTGGTAGTTGGAATCATAGGTAAGTCAATAATTGTACTCACTTAGAGCTCATGATTAAAACTAGAGTAAAATTTCAGAGAGTCTGCTGAACTCATGTAGTATCATAATCACTGGATATTTTTGGAAGCTTTCATTTATAATTTCAAAGTTCACAAACAAGTTTTCATCTAGTCTGTTCTGTTTAGTTTCTTAATTTCCAAAATATAAATGAAAAAGTAATGATAATTACTTTAAAAGGAGGCTCTGTGTCAAGATTTGTAGGAATTAACCAGAGTAATGTGGGGACAGCCCTTTGAACAGCAGTAGTGAAAGTGTCATAGAAATAGGCATTGTGACCTTCTGGCTTATGCTTATGATAGCTTTCTGCTCATGTTGCCCCCGTTCCATCCCTAGATTATATTCGAACATTTACATGGGACAAAAAGCTCGAGATGGTTGTGAAGTCAACAGGAATTTTAGGAGGCCAAGGTGAGAAAATGTTTAAACTATTCTCATATATTCCTTGAATTTTTAAGATGCTAAAGCATGGTAGTCAGGTATGGCGGTTTACTGTAATTCCAGTGCGTAGGAGTCTGAGGTAGGAGCATCATGATTAAGACCCCCTTTTCTACACACAAAACCAAACCAAACTAATATGCTTGCTCTGATTTTCAGAAATGACTTTAATGCGAAGAAGTATTTAAGTAGGGAAATACTGGGTTTATGACAGAGGTTTTCAGAGTAAGAAGTTTTTAAAAAGCCAGAGATTCTGAATAAAAGATTGTCTTTAAGTAACACTTGCTATCTTTTCGATTCTGTAGTTCATTCCTGAGTTTAGAAATCTCTGAGCTCAAGAGAAGAACTCATGCAGCTATATGGCTGTGTGTGTGTGTGTCTGTGTGTCTGTGTGTGTCTGTCAGTCATAGCAGACACCCTGCCTCCACTCTCAGAGAGTGCTTTGGCATGTAGCAGTTTATGGTTTGTTAAGTCAGTTGCCCAATTTGTTTTTTATATGTACATACATTTAAACAGTTTTATTCTTCCCTTTTGTCTTTCTATTATCTTAGGTAAAATGCCAACCGTGGTCTCTCCAGAGTTGTATAGGACTAGATTTTGTGAAGCAATGGACAAGTATTTCCTGATGGTGCCAGACCACTGGACAGGGTTGGATTTGAATTGCTGAAATCGTGCAGATGATTTGAAACACTGAGAAGGAAAGTGGATCTGAGCAAGAGACCCAAACTCTATGACACGTTTTATTTCTTTGTCTCATATACCACTGAACACAAAGGCCTTTCAGTTCTGTGGACTGTTCAGACTGTCTTTAGACTGTCCATAATTGTGGGGTAAAAGCTCCATGGATTGTACTTTGCTTCTGTTACTTGAAATTAGCTGCCTGTAAATCGGGAAACTGTACAAAGTTAGACAGGATCTTTTTAAGGGGCTGCGATTAGAGATGAATGAATATGTAGAGGTAAGAAATTGAGTTCTCATATTTACTAACTCAATTGTGTGAAGAATAAAGCTGTCTGATTGACTGTGTGGTCGACTGATAGATTGTGACTATCTGATAAATTGTGACTGGTAGATTGTGGCTGTCTGTCTGGTAGACTGTGGCTGATACAATCTGTCAGTCTATGTAGTAGATTGGAACTACCATTTGGTAGTCTGTGGCTGTCTGGCATCACATTTTATACTTTTTCCCTGAGAAGGCAAGTACAGACTTGCTTAATACATTTTGTTTCCTATGTAGTAACTTTGTGTTTGTTCTTATAATTTCTGGAAACGTTAGGAAAAGTCTGATTTATCAATTGCCAGTTAAACAGAATGGTGCTTGCTTTGTTAGGAATTTTGACTGGGAATCCTGCCATACTCTGTATTCTCCATCTTACTTTGTTTTTAACTGTGTTTTTAACTGTGTTAACATTCTATCTTTTCTGTGGGTGATGAGAGCCTACAACTGTTAGCTTTAAAGCCTTTCTTAGGTCTTTGTAAGGAGCTTGTTTAAAACTTCTCTGTAATGTGCCAAACAGCACTCAGACCCACATTCTGAGTTTCCTCTCATTTTGGGGAAACAAAATGAGCAGTAAGTGAATATATAGTCACTGAATCCCTAAGTGAATAATTAACAATGATTTTTTTTTTTCTTAACAGTAAAAGATAGATTAGAGCCAATCCAAGAAACTGAGAAGGAACTTTTTTTTAATAGTGGGAAAGTATCTTTCAATACTTCTAGCAGTTCAGTAGGGAACCGTTTCAGTGTGGATATTCTCATTTTTAAGTTTCTCCCACACTGAGCAGGGCTGCTGAGAGATGCTGATTGGTGAAGTGCCTCCCACATAAGGACCCTGTTAGTAGTCTGCAGTTTCATCTGAAAAGTGGTCAGGGACCCTGGACTCTGAGGACAGGCTCTTACCCCACAATGGTGCCCATGTCCTCTTGGCTTTTATGTAACAAGGATATTTGGACATTTATAAAGTTGTAATAATTCCATTTTTTCAGATTTTCTCTAATAGCACATCAATATTAAAAAAAAGAGAGAGAGAAAGATTGGGTATATTTTGCTATGTAGGATAGTCTGCACCCTAACTAGGCACAAGTTTGGCAAGTTTGCTGTAGAGAATGAAGCCGTTTGTTGCTTATTGAGAGCATGACTAGTTTTGAACTCAGCAAGTTGAATGAGGTCTTATGTCTACCTGATGTTAAGCCTTGGCCTCATCAGCCTTGCATCTGTGCCTTGTGAAGGTGGACCAAACACTACGAGTCCAGTTGTGATATTAGAAGTCAGTAAAGGAGTTGTACCGAGGTGAAGATGGCACGGAACACTTATTTTCTGTATACCCAGAAACAAAGACTTTTGTGTCTGGTTCGAATGCCACCTCTGTTTGTGTCTGTTCATTTATTCTGTCTGTTTGGTTAGGGCTATGTCCTCCTCACTCTCAGAACTAGAATGATGCCTTTTCCTGCTGTTTTTCTTGTTGGTTTCAGTACAGTGCACATAGCTGAGCTCCAGGGCAGTAACCTCCAACAGGACATGGCATCTCCATCCTCTCTTGCCCCTGACTTGGAAAGCAGTTTTGCTTTTAAAGTATTGTTGCCTCTGGCATTTTGGTGACTAAATTTTCTGAGGCAGAGTTATTGCTTTGAAAGCTTGACTTGACCTTTTAAAATTAATGCCAAGCTGGTGTTAATGAAGGGGAAACACACAATTGAACTATTTTGCAAGGTACAAGTGTGTGACTCCTGGCTACTTGCATTTAGCTGCTACCATGTATATGTATGTATAGATAGTATTTGGAGTGCTTTGAATTGAATGGCTGTTGTCTGTCCTCTTGAACTCTCTGTCATGGTCTAGAGACTATTAATGTTGAAAAGTTGTGAATGAGGAAGAAATCACATGCTCAGAATATAATATGAATTCCAAAGTAATTGATAGCAACATGAGAGAATTATGTCAGCATGTTGCTTTGTATAAAAATCTTGTTTATAAATATGAAGCTTTTTGATAACATAAAATTTTGTTTAAAAAAAAAGAAGAGACTTACTTTTTTCCTTTGTACCTGAGGGAAGAAAGGAGAAATAAGCTGTTGTGAGCCCTTTGTAGTCCACTGAGGTTTTTATAGCTTCTCAAGGTTTCCTACGGACATCTGAGCATCTATGTGAATAATAGGGTCATTCATGCCAGCATTTGGCTTGTATGACACCTTTGTGGCTGATGGTTTCTTGGCACTTTAACCAGTGGGCTTCTTGGCAATACCAAGAAAGGTTATCAGCTTGTAGAAAGTTAGCTGTTTCAAGTGTGAAAACTGTTGTTAGTGGGCCTGGTGAAGTCTGACCAGGACATTCATACTCTCAAAGTGACTTAGCAGTATTTAAACATCTAGTGCAATGCCCTTTTTGGTTGGTTTTGTAACGGTGCAGTATATTATAGGAAAAAATGAAAATTACAATCATGAGCAGTTTTGTTAATGCTGCTTTACCAGTTTTGTAAAAGAAATGTACATAATGTCTTTCATCAACAAATAACATTGTAATTTACAGTAGCATCCTTATTTAATATGAAAACTCAATATTAAAAGTATTGAAATGTGAATATTTCTCTAACTTTGTTTCCAACTGTTTTATATGATTGACATTATTTAAAGATAACTACCCTAGCCTTTTAGAGACTTGTACTGTAAATAAAGAGGACATACAATAAACTGGAATTTACTTACTCTATTGAGTTTTGGATCTGTTTGAAGAAGCTAACAAAGTGAGAGGAAGTTCTTGCCAGCTTGTGTTCTTTTGTTCTTTTTGTTCATTCTCTTCTCCTTCTGTTTCCAGTGGGAGAATTTCAGTTTTGCATTCTGACCAATAATGGGCATAGCTGTATGGTCCTTCCCATTCTTCCTGTTTTTACAAGGAAGGGATGCCCATTTCTACGCAGGATCTGCAAATTGTGTGAGTGGGTGGAGCTCTATCTTCCATTACTTTCTCCTATGAATTTGAAGGCAAATACTGTACTGACTGAAGTTGAACCCATCTCAGTGCTGCTCACAGTTGTGGTCCCAAGGCCATGAGAACCACTTTTGTCTGGAAGATGGAATAGGAGCTTGCCCTGTCCATTCCACACATTGATGGGGTGTCATCATCCGGTGTTATATCTTATTTGGGGGACATGGAGTTCATTTTGGAGCTAATGCTTTGGGCTTTTGTTTTCTGTGTTGGGAGAAGACCTTTTTGCAAAATGGCATGACTGGTGAGTACTGGAAAGTTTGGGTTTCCAGCACTGGGAGACGGAATAGTAGATCAGCTCTACAGTCTCTTTTCTCTCTGTTTCTAATGTGTCCTTTTTTATTGTTTGAGAATTTCGTACATGCATATAATGTGTTTTGATCAAATTCACACCCCCTCCCTGTTCTCTCCCCTTCAATTCTTTCCCATCCTCTTCCCAACACCTTTCTTGCAAATTTCCATGTGTTCTGTTTTTAAACCCACTGAGTCTACTCAATGCTGCCTCTATGAACATGTGTGTTGGATAATCTCCTGCATTGTGGGTAGCCTCCCACAGACCAGATCACTGAGGCAAACAGATTCTCCCTCTCCAGCAGGCTTCAGAAGTCTTTTTCTACTTGTTTTTGACTAAGGATTAGGAACTTCTGACTCAAGAATATCTCAGCTCCATAAAGAGGTTTGAATGGAACCTTTCCTAGCCAGCAAAGAGTGAAGGCCATTGAAGGCCTCCTGTGACTTGAAATGCAAGTGTATGCCAGCTCAATGGTATGGTACTTCCTGCCAAACCTGAAAGACCTGAATTCCCATTCCAGAAACCCCCATAGTGGAAGGAGAGAACCCATTTCCTGCAGGTTTTCCTCTGACCTTCTGTGTATATGCATAAAAAAGGACACTAGGAAAAACCAGTCAAGGAATTGGACTTAAATTGCAGGAATTATTCTACGGACTCTTCTAAACATCTAAATACCCCGAATAGGAGACATGGTTTGGCCCTATGATAGCCATTCTTGGTTCTCAACTTGATTACACCTGAAATTAACTTAAATCCAAGCAGCTGGCCTACCTGTGAGGGATTTTTCTTTTAATTAAATCTTTTGAAGTGGGAAGACCCACTTTTAATCCAGATCTTTTGAGCTTGGGAGATCCACCTTTCATTTGGGCCACACCTGCTGGTACCCTGTAGAAAGGTATGGAAGGAGGAGGCTCTCTCTTTGCTGGTTTGTCCCCTGGCTGGCAAGTTCATTCCTCCACTAGCATTAGTGCCTACTTCTTCGGGGTTTTGGAGTTTTGGTGTATACTGAAGAGCACCTGAGACATCCAACCCTGTGGAGGATGTCTTAGGTGGCCCCTATAATTATATATATAAATATATATTTATATAAAATTAAAAAGAGAGAGAGAGAGAGAAGAGGGGGAGAGAGAGAGAGAGAGAGAGAGAGAGAGAATGTGCCATTTTTGGTTTTGTTCCTCTAGAGAATCCTGACTACAGACACTTTTTGAAATAATTTTGACTGTCTTAGGCCTGTTGGCGTTTTAAAGCTTTTTATTTCTATGTTAGTGTTATGGGGATTCAGGTAAATGATTTAGTACACTCAGGTATATATGAAAACTAACAAAGGTCACTCATGTACAGTTATAAAGGACATGGCTTTTACCATCTGACAAAGGCCTGTACCTTTTGGCCAGCAGACTGGGATACTTGAGAGCTG